GATATATAATAGTACACTTTAGAAGTTTCAAGTACCCACGAATAATATTATTCAATCACAACAAAATAACTAAAATAGTTATTCTAGGTTTTTTAATATGTAATTTCGTCCAAATTTGAAATTAAAATGTCTGTAAAAAATAAGTGTGTTTATATATTTTTTAGATATTTTGGTTACAGTATGAATTATTTAAGAGAATCTTTGTTTTAAATTTTCAACTCTTAGTTATAAAAACTGAACATTTTATAATTTTTTAATTCCAACGATTGATAATTTTTGAGATTTTGATAAATTTTGTCAAAATTCCAACTTTAAATGCTTATAAAAAAAAAATCGTGCCTATGTATTTTTAATATTTTTCAACTGATATTGTAACAATATATCAGGAGCCTTGTATTAAATTTTTACACTTTTTGGCCCAACAGATAAAACTTTATTGATATTTATAGAAAAAAAAACTAAAAAAAATTGAAAGCTGTAAATGTCCATAAACAGCTCAAAAAGAGTCAAAATATTTTCAAAATTGTATGGTGTATAGGAAATGCTAATATAAACATTCAGTGAAATTTTCATGTATCTACAGTTATTCGTTTTTGAATTACAACAAAATAAGGAAATCGCTACATGAGAAATCGAGTGAAAATCCAATGTTGTAAAAATTTGAATTTCAAACGCTCATAAAAATTTAATTTGACATTCCGGTAGAGATTTTTTTATTGATAAAGGTAGATAATCTTATAAGGAATCTTGTGCTTCATTTTCAAATCTTAGATTTAAAAAGAAAAATTTTTACGAATTCTTAACTCAAAATAATTTGCTAATTTTCGTGATTTTTCCTTTTTTTGTCAATTTTTGAACTTTAAATGCTTATAAAAAAAAATTGTGACTAAGGATTTTTAATATTTTTCATCTGCCTTTGAAACAACATATTAGGAGCCTTCTATTAAATTTTCAAGCTTTCGCAACCAACAAATAAAATTTTATTGATATTTTTAGAAAAAAAACTAAAAAAAAATGGAAAATGAAAATGTCCCTAAACAGTTCAAAATAAATCAAAATATTTTGAAAATGTTATCGTTTATAGAAAATGCAAATATAAACAACCAGTGAAAATTTCATGTATATACGTTCATTTTTTTTAGAGTTACACCAATAACCAAAATCGATTTTTTGGAAAACCAATTTTGCGTAAAAATTCCCGTTTTTCCTTAATTTTTATGTTGTTTTTCCCGGCGCTTGTGAAAACTACTGGGAAATATATACTTTTGACCCCCCAAAGTACCAACTAGATTCACTTTCCTACCAGAAAAGCTACTGATGAAGAAAATCCAAGCACTTTTACTGTCCTAAAACGTGATGACAGACACAAAAATATAAATAAAAATATAAATAAAAATATAAAAAAAAAACATACATCATTGTAAAACCAATACATTCATCGCTCCGCTCAGAATCTAAAACACACATCATTGTAAAATCAATACATTCATCGTTTCACTCAGAATCTAAAAGATTTGTAATAATCTTATTATTATATAACAAAATATATACATTTATCATTATACATAATATACATTATATACGAATGTATATAATAATTATTATTATTACAATTTTTATTATTATATATATATATATATATATGTTATTGTAATTTATAATAAACATAAATAATAATTGGAACATTATTTAGTTTCGGTCAAGCCGTTTCGGAGGAGTTCAATAACAAACACACGACATTTTTATATATTAGATATACCTACATATCTACTTGATATATTATGCTGTCGCACATTGTCCACGATCCAACGTAGTCGGATTGCCTACCAGGGTGGCTGAATTGCACTTACTGCTACGAGTTACACCCAAAAGGATTTGAACAATCACAGTTTTTTAAAGGGTTGTAATTTTTTAAGGGCAACTAAGTGCACGGGGTCGGTCAACTAGTATGGCTATATAATATTAAAAAATAAATGTGTAGTATTAAAATTATGTAACATACCTTAGGGAGAAATTAAAATGGCTCATAGTATGCTAAGCCCTTCTAACCCCACTCATATATGTGCATGTTTGTGGCTATGTATTTTTGAATTTTTAAAGTTTGCTACGAGTAAAACTTATGAAGAATCTTGTTTAACATTATTTACAAGTTTTTTGATCAGCAAAAATGTACTGATAATCATTTATAGAAAAAACAAGTACCTATATTAGAAAATGTAAAATACTTAGGTATCTAGCTTAAAATTGTCTAAACATTTCATTGTATTAAGAAAAAAATCATTTAAGTAGTATGAGAATGTGTTAAGAGAACGCTACAATCATGGGTTAGGTTAGGTTTCTATAAAATGCATATTTGTTGTCCCCGTCTTGTGTACAACAAAGCAAATTTGCATTCTACCAATTTCAATAGGTAGTGTTAGTGTGCTGTTAGTTTTGATATTAGAGAGAATTGACCTAATATTAAACTTTTAGGTAAGAACATTATCCGTGGTTAAGCGTAGGCTTTTATTCCATATTTTAATATTCAAGCAATATATACCTATACGTTTTTAATTTGTGATATTTCACATACCCATTTCTTGCTTGAAAATTAAAATATCGAAAACATCGCCGATGCGCGAATGCGCGATGCTTAGGTACAGATGATGTTTAGATGTTCTTACTTAAAAGTTTAATAATATGTATTCACTCTAATATAAAAACTAATAAAACATTATTAATACTTGCGAACGAAAATTTGACATGTTACACGTTTCAACGTTTGTAAGACGAAGACAACAAACGCATGGGTAACGTCCTCTTATATAAGTTTCTGCGATTAATATTTTTCAAATAATAACAAAAACTGTTTGAGGATATATTCGATCCAATGTTTTCTAAACTTCTTAAAAAAATAAATTGTTGACATGTTAGACAGACCTAACTATGAACTCTTAACCTAACTAGTAACTTATAATAATTGTCCTTGGTTATGTCACCGATTGGCTATATATGGACGATTACCTATAAAGAAATGGACTAATAGTTAGTCCAAATATAATAATAATAATTATAGTACAAATCTTAACCACAATTAATTTAATAATTGTCTGCAAAATCACATAGGTACATTATATTACAAAATAATAAATTAGTATCTATTTTAAACTTAAAATTTTTTGATGTAATTTGTATTGTGTATGAAGTTATGATACATTGACACAAATCATTTGATTTGTATTCTTATATATAAGTTTATTGTATATTATATAGGTAACACTGCTAATATCAGCTATTCAATAAATAAATAAAAACTGCTAATATTAATAATATACCTAGGTAACCTATAAAGGCTATATAGGTAGGTAATTAATAAATATTTCACAATAATTTGTGTAGGTAGGTATTTATTATATTTTCATTTCATTTTATTATATAGTTCTAAATTATAGTAGTAGGTAAAACATTTATATTTTATCACAATTATTTTTAATTTTAATTTATTTTGTATCTGATGTTTAAGTATATACACACAAATATTTTTAGACAGAAAATAATAGGTACCTATCGAAATAAATAAGATGGTGACAATTTTTATTTTGATAATGGATTAAAATGGATACGGCCGACCATACGACGCATTAGGTACCTATATGGCTATATGTATATCCGTATATGTCCTCACTCCCCCGTAATAGGCCAAATTTTATATTATATATTATTATGTTATCTTGATGTCAAACGCATACAAGCTTCATTTTTCCTGCCACCCGGATTCTCATACAGTCATACCCCACCCAATAATACCGTTATGGTGTTATCCGCTACAATAAAATATCGGTGCAGCAGATCCAGTTACACGGTAAATAAATATTTATATATAGATACACCATACGATACATCTATACATAATTGATAAATAAATAATAACTAAAAATTATTGGTTTTTAGAATTTTCAAATAAGCCATTTAAATATTATAAAGTAAAATATTCATTTATAATAAAATAAAATATTAAGTCTTCAGTCCATTTGGATTTAGAGAGAAGGTAGATACTATGGACAGAAGAAAATTACTATCTTAAGTTTGAGTTAAATCCCCATCACATCACAAACAATAACAAAAAAACGCCACAGAAAAGATTGAAAAATAATTCTATTAACTAAAAATAAAAGTGCGCAATAGGCTCATAGGTATTAAAATAGTTTTTCATTAATTATTGAATTAACTTCATAAATAAATTATAATTATGAACTCGTACTGTTTCACACAAACACATATCTACGTGATGTTTTTGATAAATGCTCGTTTAATATTATAATATAATAACAATTGTCAATTATTATTTATCCTAATGGCTAATTCAAAAACTATATGCGTACCAGCTATAGAAGCCCGTATTCTAAGTTCTAACCACTAGCTTAGCTATATAGGCAACAACGTTTGCACGTCCTATTGACACACTTGTTAATTACGATGACTTCGGTATTACTTTAGATTTTCAATATTGGTTTTGCATCCCATGAAAAAATGTGAAATTACGACTTGAATACATTTTTGTTATGTGTAGGTACTAGGTACTAAATACTTATACATAGAATATAGGTACACAGATACAAAACAATACCTACACCATGTCATATTCAGGATTGTGTAGGTACACATTTATTCACTGCCTATAACAATAATACGCCCTATAAGGGCTTTAAAATCTAAGATTTTCGTCACCATATCGGCCACCTCACCGGAAATATTATAGATAAAGCTTGAAAGCTATTAACCGCTACTTTTATAATTAAGTATAAAATAATTAATTGATTTAAAATGTTCTGCCCAAAACAATAATGACCCACTCCCCTCACATTTCGGCGCTACTTGTATATTACTATATAAGTACCTACATCCAATAGAATATTATTATTTTTTAATATGATAAATAATACTTTTGTTAAATACGAATTTTGAACAGAAATGTCACCACGTAAGCAGGATGAACGTCTGCCGATGTCATACGATTTGAATCACCGGGACGAATTATTCAGTTTAATCATTTTCGAGCAGTCGTAATGTTTTTCCGAGCAATGCTTCGCGTTCCCTTTGACTTGCTGCCAGTCGGACACATTCCACGCCACCCATTCTTGGGACCGACCGCGCCTACTCTCCTTTACCCGACGTTGCATGTAGTGTATGATTGGCGACAAACGACAAAGCAGCAACTGAACACATGGCATGCCCGACGCCAACTGTTCGATCAATAGATCTGGTAACGTTTCGTCGGTCGCATCATTCATCATCGATTTTATCTGAAATCGAGAAAAAAATAATAATAGGTATAGATACCCACAACACACAGAGGCGCAACTGGAGACCGTTGAATGTGTTAAAATTATGAAATTTTCCAATAGCTGACCAGCTGTGAGACTCCGAAGTATTTATCTACATTATAATAATTATACCCAATTTAATCAAAAATTTGAAACCATTTGAGCGACTTGGCCACTTGGGAGTCGATTGGGGGGGGGGGGCATCCGACATACATCCCTAGTTACGCCATCGGCCAGTTCTACTGCAATACAAGAGATCTAATATACTGGTACAGTGACTATAGTAAGTTTTATTGTACAATATAATTAGGTGTACTGTTCATACATATGGATTATTCATGATCCAGTCGATCGGACGGCCATCGGGAAAGCTCTTAGTCTTTTGGCTAGTACCTCTGTAATTGGTTGTTCCGTAATCAGAAACCGTTAAAATCTAAATAAAGGTTATACAATATACGTAATATATTTATATTTATACAAAACAACAAAACATTATTGTCATTCCATACAGCATAATGATAACTTACAGTTTTCGTCAAAAGTACCAATCCGTTTACTATAAGAGTTTTTAGACCATTGGTGCCATGTCCGATAACACCCGATGCCGCACGAATCAACAGCGTTAACATGTTAGATTTTGTTTCGACTTTATCATTGACGATTGACCTACCCACTAAATCGGCCACGAGTACAGACATTTTTTTCCAATCTTGACATTTATCTACGTTTCTGTTTGAGGACAAACATTGAAGTTCACTGACTGTATATCTTATGATAATTGATAAGACACATATTTTTAATAAAAATTGCATAATATATTCTTGTAATTTTTTTATAAAAGATAAATTCAATTATAATTTTAAAAAACACAACTTATCTGCCAAGATGTCAATGCATAAATGAGGAACGCTGTACATTTACAGCTAATTGTAACATCCAATTATTTAAATCACCAAACCATATGAACAGTTACAATTTACTACTTAACATCGCCAACTAATTATGATGTTCATAACACTATTTGTCAGTTAAAACAATATGTACAAATAATTTTTACATTGTTTTTGAGTTTGACAACCAGAATAATTGTTATCACTTAATAATAAAATAAATATATAAAATACTTTCATTCCTAAAATTCATTGTAAAATATAAAATAAATGTTAATAATATATTTTACTGTATACATTTAATATGGATTAAAATATAATGTAATATAAAAGTGATTTAAAGAAATACAGTCTTATAAAACTAATTAAAGTACAATGGCAGTATGGCACAACTTCAAAATGGACGGATTTGAACATATTAACCACTATTTTTCAACTAAAAGTTACTGTTATTTTCTTATAAAATTGTCTATCCAGTTGTGGACTATAAATCATCACAGATACATTTAATTTTGGTTGAATATTTTCATATTCAACCAAAAAAGAGTTTAAAACACTTTTAACCAGATAATTGACACAAAACAAACAATAAAGAAATACATAATTGCTTAGTCATATTATAATATCTAGTTTTATATAATATATAACATGAAATAACTTATATCTATTAACTCTAAGAATGGGTCAATACAATAAATGTTTCAAGTAACCAATACTGAATATATACAAAAACATTATATTCATTGGTTTACCCATATTCAAACTAAAAATATATTATATTATTATATTTTTAATAAAGTAAAAAAGTATCAAGTTTGATATAATTTAATATCTGGTTGCACAAAAATACAATTAATTAAAACATAAATTGTTATTACTTTGATACTTGCTTTCCTTAATTTTGATTCAACAATTAAATATCACATAAATATTTTTTATACAACTCAGGTAATAATATACTGTTTTTGACTCTCATTCTTTTTTTCATCAAAAGTGTAACACCAATATGAAAAAATGTATAAAGTATGCACTATCTCGTTTAAACAATAGTTTCTCTAAAAACATGTTAACATTTAAAATAACTATCATAGACTATGAAAATGAAAAACATACAGATACAACTTTTGTTTTGGTACTTAAAGACATTTTACATTTTTTAATCAAAGTTCATTTAAATTTATAATGTATTTTTAGACACAGAAAAATCTTAACATCTCAAATCTTGTCAACCTAAATAACAAGAAGAATTCAAAAAATCTCTTACACTGTCATTAGGATAGATTAGCACAATTCTAACCTTATGTTAGTTGACATATTTCATCCTTTAACTTCGACCACCATAATATATATATGTATCTAATCATGAATAATTTCAATTAAAAGGCAGTTAACTTTGGTGGATATTACTAATCAGCCATCCCCCTAATCTCCTACTTATTTTATAAGTAACAGTCAGTGCTTATTTAAATATTCTTGGCAAGAAGTTAAGATTTCTTTGAGAGTTATTCATTAAGATAAGGTTAACTGTATTTTAAATAACTTTAGTTTTATACATAACATTTTTACAGATAAATTCAAAATCTTATTTTGATTCTTCCAAACAATAACTAATAATTTATAAGGGTGAAAACAGATTAGATTCATAATTTATAATAATACTATTACAACAATATAAGTATTCTATTGTTATTATAAAACTATATTAATTTGTCTAAATATTTTATCATTACCAATCCCATTATCCTACAAAATATCACAATTATTGGTTTTGAAAGATCATCGAAGGTATAAGAAGAATAGTAAACAGAAATAAAGGAGTTATGTTCAGCTTACATATTATCGGGTTAGAGTACTTATTTAATACTTAAAATAATTCTTTTTTATAGTAATGAATAATGATCCAACAATATCAGCTGTAATATATTCACAAACTGGTCATAGCAGGTGGATGAGCGTATGCTTTAGGTATGAAACCGTATTTTCTCGTTTTAGGAGCATAAGTCCATAACCACCCTTCGACCATTTGATTGTCAAGATCTGCATATATCCATTCACCACGCTTAACTGACAGATCATCTGGGGCTTGAGGCTATAACAAATTAACTAATCGATAAGAATTGTGCAAAAAGTTAAAGCTTAAAAATAAATGAATAAAACATACCTTATAATCATAAAGCATTACCATTTCAGTACCATGAATTGCTGGATCGTCATCAGCCACACAAGAGTTTTTGCGTGGGCGTGCACGTGTAACCGGAGGTAGACCAGTATTAGTAGTACCAGCACACTGATTATTACTCATTTGATTTATATGCCCTGTACAAAACATCAATAGTTGCTATAATAATATTACAATACAATGTATTATAATTTATTAACATTATTAATTTAATATTATGTACCTTGTATTATATCAGCTGGATATACAAATCCACTAGGAACAAAACCTTCCTGTCCATCACTGCGAATAATCCAATACCAATCAGGGTCTTCTCTGTTTAATACAGTCACAAATTCTCCTCTCTCCACACTTACATCATTCTCATCTCTTGCTATGAAAGTGTATAATACAATGTAACGCCCAGCAGGGTCCTAAGTATTTGTCAAATAGAGTATGTCAGATTAAAATTAATTATAAAAAATTAATTCTTGTATACTAGTAAATACTATGTTACAAAATATTGTTTTCTTAGCCCCCCTCAATTTTAAATGATCAAAGACTATTTTCTATTTTATTTAAAATTTACTTTAAAAAATGGTCGAATCTCAGGATGTGAAGACGCACTTAATAATGAAGCTCTAGAGCTACTAATGTTCTGTTTGTTTTGATTTTTGTGATCTTGAGTTTTATTGCCAAAACTTTCACAATCAGATAAATCACCACAATTACCTAATAATATAATTAAATAAGTATGTTAATAATAGATTATGTTTTATATCCCATATTTTAAATTCTAACTAATCATACAGACCATGTTTTTGTTGCTCATTGATTTCAACTTCAACAACAGTTTCAGTTGGCGTAGCAGCTGGTGCACGTGGTAATTTCTTTTTAACATTATTTAAAGCTATTTCACCAAGTTGTGAATTATAAGGTGTACAATACGAATGAGGTATAAAACCTTCTTGACGACTGTCCTCCGCAATTACATATACCCAGTCATTCTCTCGGTATAGGATGTTGACGACCTAAAAATTAATAAGTTTTGTTTAAAGGAAGGATGAAAAAATATAAAATGACGTTTATGTACATAATATTTTAAGTTAAATCTAAAAAAAATCATAAATGCTTATTTGTTATTTTAGTTTGAATTGTTAAGTTCATAATAGGTAAATAGTACATAATATAATTTAAAAAAACTAAAATGTAATTAACATTATAAACTAATTATGGTTATTAACATTATGAATACACATTTTTATAAGTCGGTACACCTAAAAAAACTAAACCATTCCACTAAAATTGGAGTTAAAAAAAAAGTTTTAACTGTTGATAAAATAAATACATAACTGATAAAATTAATATGATATTATCATAACATTATTAAACTTGAAAATATTCTTCAATGAATAATAGTTCAAAATCTAAAATGAGTATGTAGTTTTGACTAGTGAAATCCAGGAAAATTTATAATCCTAAAAGTATTTCTTTCCTACAATTATTTGTGATACCGTTACCTAAATACTTCATAAATCAAAAAGACACAATAATTTAATGTTTATTGAGCATTCATCAACTTGTCACTTTTTAACTTATAATATGGTCTAAAAATGTAGTCGTCGTCCTCAAATATTATTTATATTTAACGCACAATAAAAGTCATAATACTAATTGTTTTGTATGGTTGGTTCTAACCTGGCCTCGTTTCACAGTTAGCTCATCATCAACGCACGGTGTGAAATCATGAAGTACAACCATTTTACTATCAGGTGACAAGCCATTTTCCTTCTCGATCCCGACACGCACCAGCGTCTCAATGGAGGCACTGCCGGTAATACGCCCCATACCAGGAACCGGTCCATTAGCGTTGGTTCCTCGTAACACTTCTTTGTCCAAGTCGCTGGTAGAACCACCTGCAAACAGCAATTAAAACACTGTTGAATGAGTATACCAAGAAAAATAAACCTAAGGGCCTCAGTGGAAAGTATTTATTTTGTTGCAAGTGGTGGCGATTGAAGGGTAGGATGGGTTAGGTATTGCTGTTAAGTGTTGATCATACTTTTTTTCTTCTTGCCTCGGCGTATTCTCACGGGACACAGGAAAGCCATTATTGTTTATAGGCCACCGCGCATGCTAGTCGTGTAACTTGGTCTCCTTAGGTGTTTATCTGTTTTCCGGCTCGGGAAAACCATGTAAACACGAAAGGGAAGGCAGGAGACACAGAGCAGAAGCTAAACCAGCCAACCTACTGGACAGTGGACACTGGTCACTGGTGTCAATTATTTATTGACAATCAATCATCATTATTATTATCCGACGGCGGCGGCGGCGGCGGTGGCGCCGGCGGTCGAACAGGTTTCCGGAATGGTGATAATTATTATTATGACCCAGTGTGGCCATATTTAGAAAACCAAAGTTCACGACTGATGAGAATAACGCTACGGCGTCATCACCGGAATTCGAAGGGACGGGTCACGGAATATTTCACGATCTTTATTTGATCACACATTCACACTATATAAAACTGTAAGCAGTGTAAACAAACGGCCTCAATTTCTTATCTATATCTGTGCGCAAAACCAACAGAAATAATTTACTACTTTACTAAAATTATTTCTCATTATCCAAACATCCAAGCGTCTTTTTTTTCACGTCTACAAAATTTCTAGAATGAATTTGAGGCCTCGTAGACACCAGCTAATTCCTATCCATTTCTTTATTATCTATGGTTCAAATACCGAAGGTACCAGGATGTAGATACGTCGACTTGCCAGTGCCCTCATTCGCACTCCAAGGACGTTACGAACGTTTCACGGCCAATTGCTTATCAGTATACCTTGGTTCCTAGGTGCTCCAACAGTCCAACATAACCGATGACGTTGCATCGATCTGATGTTTACGTACACTGTTATTGATAATAATAATCAAAACGTGTCACTACGACTACTCTGAACTCTCTAATAATTAGTTATACCCAGCAAGTGACGAGAACGCTGAACGATCAACGTTGCACGTATTACGCTGCCAACTTGTTGTGAAACGACACCATTTATTCGCATTTCACTTCTCGAACACCCTTCACTACCGTCACTCATCGTAGTCTCAAGTAAACTGAACTCTAATGTAATAGCATCCATTTTACTAACTGAGGTTTTATTTCATTCACAGAGAACAACAGAAAAAAAATATGGATCAAGTAACAAAAGTATTGGAACCCGGACGCCAGTTTTCCAAAGACTCGGTTAGGCTGGTGAAAAGATGCACTAAACCCGACAGAAAAGGTAAACGCGATTTGTATTCCATTTAGTTTCACTTATTCATTTACGTCATTTGATGTTATACAGAGTTTCAAAAAATTGCAATTGCTACAGCCATAGGTTTTTGCATTATGGGTTTCATTGGTTTCTTTGTCAAACTTATACACATACCCATCAACAACATCATTGTGTAAGTACTACTTCTACAGTTCTACTTTAAATTAATAATGTTGACTGTTATTTTTATATAATTCTGGGTTTTTCTAATATAAAGTTAATAAAAGCTCGAATACCAACAACCCAATATCGTGATTCGCCTTTTTAATGTCATCTATTTAGATAATGAATACCTTCTACAGTATTAACTATTAATTAGTAAACAATTTTAAAGCTACTTATAAGTATAATATGAAAAACATTAAAAAATGCTGATAACTCAATAATATTAAATTTATAACAAACTCCAAAGATAGAACACAATTAATATTCGTACCTTTAAGTTTGATAGTCCAATTTGCTGTAATATTTAAACTAACAAGTAACAACATAAACTCGATTCCACTGAATTTAAATTTATTAGGTATGTGTACGTTAGAAAGATGAAGATAACACATGCTTACATCACTTCCTCTTAATATGCAATATATCTAATGTAATAAAAAACAAACATAAATTAGATAGGCTCCTATTAAGATTTTTTCATTATTTTAACAGTTAAATACTTGCATATTGTTTGGAATAACCAATAAAGTAGAACTACATTTTTATTTGTACCAATGTATTAAATTTTTTTTTAATTATAATTCACCTAACGTAATTTGGGCTACAAAATGCAAATTGAAAAAAGCTAAGAATAGTTTTATTTTAATGAATGTTTGAAAAATAGTGACAATTTGATATAAATAATTATTTATTTTAATTAGATTTATCAATCTTGTAATATAAAATATAATATTAATTGTTAAACAATTTGATATATCAATTATATTTAATTTTTTTTTTTTTTACAGAGGATCATGAAGTGTTAGCTGTTCAACTCCTTTATTTCCTGAAAACAATGTATCTTGATGAAAAGATTTGTGTAGTTCACAATATTTTGTTTTTATACTGTGTATTAAATATTTGTGAACATTATTTGTGTTTCCCTTGTTCATTTTAGTACATAGAGTATATATTTATTTAATGTTTCTAAGTATGAATTTTAGCAAAATTTATAATAATGTAATTGGCATGTAAAATATAAAATACTTTATTATGAACAATAAAATTTCAAAAACAAAACAATTTCCATTTAAATTTGTCTTTACAAATTGTATAATGTAAATAGCCAAACCATATAACACACATCGCCCTACAACTTCCAGTTGTTTTACTAACTTATTTATTATGAAGATCCAAATATTGATGTTCCGATTATGTACACTGGACGGTTTTTATATTTCTTTGATACATCAAATTCAATCTAAAATAAATATATATAGAATAATACATTAATTAATTATTATAGTAGATTATCAAGTGGTAATACAAAAATGTTTGAGAAAAAATATAATTTAATTTTTAAAAGTACTTCAGTTATAAGTTGCTTGTTTTTTTGTTGTATTAACTTCAATTTTGGAACCAGTTGATTATATTCTTCAGCTAACTCCTTTTTTTTATTAGTAACTGCTATTTGAGAATTAATCATTTTCTCAATATTGCTGACTTTTTGAAGAAACATCGACTCCAGTTTATTTAGATATCTGATGACATTAAAATGATACACATTATAATAAAATATGGAAAATAGTATTATGCAGCACTATAATTAGAAATTTGCTATCTATGGGCATTATTTAATGTATATTTAATTTCATTATCTTATTTAGGCATGTTGGAGGTTAGATCACTTTTTATATGGCAGTCATTTATGCTAGTATAATTACACAATATAAAAACATGATTTAATTGTAGGAACTAAGCAATGACGTTACCAAGATTAAAATTTAAAACAATGAAAATGTATAAAAAAAAAAATAGCCACTTGTTGCTCCCTACCCACTAAATACATTCCTGACATTATACTGAATTTACCTTGGTGAATGTTTAATTTGCTGTAAATGTTGGACAACTGGATCATTAAGCTTTTGTTTGATTACTTTTATAATATCCAACATGGACGCTATCTCAGGTTTAGATTCATTGATTTCTTCATCGGAATGGACTGACAATGCAGAATTTGTTTCATTTGATAATTCAAGCAATCGCATACTTAAAAATGATTCTAACTAAAATAAGATGGTAACAATATAACTCTATTACATGATAAAAATTAAAAATGTTATAGTTTGGTATCTCACTTCTAAAATATCATTCATAAATTCATTTCTTGTCTGAAAATTATCTAATAAAGTCAAAGCCTCATTGCCTCTGGCAATACTACCATCAGTTTGTAGATTTTCAACTTCTATTCCACTTTCTTCCAGAGAAATACCATAATCAATGTCCTACACGTAAACAAAATGCAAATATTTTCTCTAAAAAGTGAAAACAAAATTATTTTAGACAGATTACATACTTCAGATGGGTTCTCCAAGTCACCCCAATCAATTTCTTCATCGGCAGTGTTGTCCTTTAAATTAAATACTCATTAAATTATATTTTCTTATTTGTTCTGAATATACCCAAACACGAAATGACATACTTTAATATCTTCTTCAATTGTTAGTACAGACTCTTCTATTTTACTTGGTTTTTCCCCATAAAGATATTCGTAATAGGTAGTATTGCCATTGTCTGAAAATATTTACTATTTTAAATATCACAATCAAATAATTGAATAAAAAAACAATAATTACTCAAAATATATTGAAGCATCGATAAATTAATGTCTGAACCTAGAATATTTACTACAAATAAAGAAAAATATGTATTGGCTTTCTTTAAATTTTTTATATGTTCCATAACATCATCATAAACTTTTTGAAGTTCACATAACCGTCCTATAAGTGTGCGCTTAAAACTGTTATCGTCACCAACTATGGAGAACTGTTTTCGCATTGTTTCCAAATCTTTTTTACATGTTTGAATAGATTTAGTGTAATCTTCAATCTTTTTATCACAATCCTACACAAAATCTATTATTAGCTTATTACTTATAAACATTAAAATATCATCAAGTTTTAGATAATTTTAATAATTTACAGTTTGTCCAGACTGTAATTTGGCTATTTGCTTCTTGACCGAGGGTATATGATACTTGATGTTTTGTACAAGAAGATCACAAGCTTCAGCTAGGTAAACATTGTCTTTTAAATACAGCCTTTCGATTTCTAACCAATCCTTCATCCTTTGCGATCCATATGAGCCAAACAAATTTTTTGTATCTGCTTCGGTTTCTCTTAATATTTCAATTATACGTTTACAATAGAAATAATTGATATCTAAACAAAAATTTCACAGAATTTAAATAAATACTTACCCAAGATTTACAAAAATTGTAATTTAAATACTTACATGCCCCAGACAACAATTGTACAATCTCATTGTTTTCAGGCATATCTTGTATAGCTACATTGATTTTCTGTCTTATGGGTTGTATGTGTGAATGCCAATCTTTTTTACAGTGTTTTCTGCTTGTTAGCCATTCGCTTAGTTTTTGAGCATGTATTTCAATTGGAATAGAACTTTCCTAATAGTACATAAAATAAGTACGTAATATATTTGATGTTTAGAAGGTAGGTTCTAAAACAAGTGTCAAGTGGTATTATAATTTAAAAATGTGTACACTCACCATATTTTCAGAAACAACGCTAAAGTATTTAATTATTTTAGGCGTGTAGGCAAAATTTCAAAATGAAAGGAATGAGGACTATTATTATTATATTGGAATAATTTTTGATAACGTTTCAAACTTTCAAAACAGAGACTGACATTCAAGTCCTGTAACCCCGTGGTGACTTGTCAACATTGGTCATTAACTATTTAATTCTTGGTTGTGAGTTGTCGGCACAAGATATCACTTATCAGTAGTAACTTGCAATCGAGTTTTGTTTTATTCTGTGGTTTTATACCGGTATAAAAAGTTAAAACCACGGGTCTCCACTGTACACGTACGTGTGTACGTGGATAAAAATCCTTTGATTGATTGGTTTGGTTCAGTTACCACACGATTAACCACGATACCGTATTGTTGGACATAGCCACGAACTAATCTTAAAGTTAACCGGAGTTTTAATCGGCCGAATTTGGCAGGTTAAATATCTGTTATCAGTCGATTAAGCGTTAACCGTGATTAACTATGTTGGTGAAATCGACCCTCAGTGCCTCAGTCCATGGCACGGACTAAGATATAATGGACTGGAAACGACATGGTCGGCGGGGATCGGGGGACGGCCACGAAAAGATGTCACTTAGCTGATAAGAATACTGTTCTTGAAGTTTTCAGCGCTACCGGTGGTTTTATTTGGCTACACAATTTGTATCTTAGTCCGTGTTAAATACAGAGGGCGCTGTGAACTCCAAGAACAGATAACGACCCCCCGCACTTTGCCTCTTGTACATACATTCGTGGCCATGATAAGCTGCTCGTTTCCAGTCCATTATATCTTAGTCCGTGGTCCATGGACATAGCTGAACATTTTTCGTGTACACGGCAAACGTGTATATACTCTGTTCCAAAAGAGAACGGTCACTTTTCGCGTAAACAACTGACGGCTGCGGCAGTGCAAAGGCCAAAATTCCCCTCCCCTTTTCTAGCCGGCAATCGTCAACATCTTCGAGAAACGTCTGCTAGCAAGGTGGTGGATGTTGGGCCTTTGCACTGCCATAGCCGTAAGTTGTATGTTCGAAAAGTGACCGTTCTCTTTTGGAACAGAGTATAGTGGAAACTCGCCTACAGTACAATATTATATTAATATTTAATACGTGGTACAAATACCTATAACTACATTTTTGACCACCATCACTATTAATGATTTAATTCTTAAAATTTAGATAGCGCCGTGCGTTGCCATATGGCAACATAGGTAGACCTATTTTTAGAAGCTAATTTCTCATTGGGAATTTGACCAATAAAAAAATTTTAAAAAAAAATTTCGGCGCTAATGGGTTAATGGTTTATAATCTTAAATCGTGATTGCCGATTGGTAAAGGTAATCTTTAGCCTTTAGGTATGTCGAACTTTTGTTTTCCAATGACAAATCAATTAAAACCCATCTTACAATACTTACATCAGGTATAATATAAATTATAATATTACCGATTTACAAATTTTCTTGTTATTAACTCTTATATTGTAGACTGTAGTCAATACATCCTCAGTAGATAACTTAAAAATAGGTTCATCTTATAAATATTAAATACCTTCAATTTTTTTTTTAGCTTCTCAGAATATTAATAGTACCTTTAGGCTTAAAATGTATTTAAATTCGTATTTTGAAAATTATTTTGTATAAATAATAATATACCATAATATTATCTATACATAGTGACTAAAAGTTCCAGTTACCTAAGTACCTACTAATAATATTTAATTACCACTGAATAACTTAAATCAATTATTATTATTTAGTCATTACCACGGCTATAGATAATTATCTACAGCCGACAGCCGTGGTAGTTACCCGCCGGCCGCCACTGGATTAAACACTGAATACATGCTCATAATAAATTATGTAACACGATGATAACAGAAAGGTACACCCACGACACTAATGTACCCAAATTGCCTATTTAGAACGCCGAGGTCGAGCGATCATCATTTTATTGAAAAAAATTAAAAAATATCTAAACATTCTAATGTAAGCCCGGAGAGTATGAAAAAAAATAATAGATATATTTGATGATATATAATCATTAAGGTACTCACTACTCGACATATTCGGTTCGACTTTAATGTTTGATATGTTATTGTAATAATCACAGTGCGTTTGGTTTTGTCTCAGACGAAGAAAATCAAAAACCAAGATCTAAGCGTTTTTTTTCAATTACACATAACACATGAAGAGATGGTTAAGGTTTTAATATTATAGAGGTTCAATTAATATTAGTAGCCACGGGAAGTATAACAAAAAGTCTTTCATATCTAGTACCTATTACCACGGTGGCACGGTTGCATAATATGTCATTCGGAATCGGAACTCGACATATTATACTTTAAAAGAGTATTTCTATACAATGAGAGATGGAAAATAAAATAATAAGTCGTCGATCTTCACCAACCAAGCATAAGCGCAACTAGGTGAGGGCTGGGGGCTTAGCCCCCCCTCCCCCCAAAAAAAAACTTGTAATAGCCCCCTCAAAATATTATTCAGTTCTTTTCTAAAATATTAACAAATCTTTAAAAATTAAACTGTATTTCTTATTTTTTTTTTTGGAAATAAATGTAATTAAGTACCAATTTAATTATTATTCAAACTTTTTTTTTATATTGCCTTTGATAAATATGGTAAATATTATAAGCTGTATGCTTGTATTATTTTTAAGAAACAATTTATGACGGTATGATATAAATTATTTTGTATTTGGTAAGATTATTACACATAATTGTACAGTATACCTAATAACTATACTTCGGTATTCGATTGAGAGTACTTCGGCGCGGGTGGAGAAGATTTGAGCGGCCCACAATTTTTTTTTTTGATCAAAAAATGTACAGCTCGCTATAGAATAGTATTTTCAAATTGATAAAACAATATTGTCGGCTCTATATCAACAAGAACATTGTCAAATCAACAAGGTTTATTGATTGAATCAACATTATTCCAAGCGGCAACAATATAATTGTCAAATTGATACAATAATCTTGTCGGCTCTATATCAACAAGATTATTTTCAATTCAACATAGCTTTTTATCAATATGATTGTGGTTTTTTTTTTCAGTGGACGCTCGCTTATCATAGGCTAATATTTTGGAAGTGCTAAGGGTACACATAGGCACGCAATTTTTTAACACTTTTCTTAAGTTCGCTTTCACGTCCGTCTGTAATCAAATCTTGCGCGCTCGATTTGAGGCACTTTTTGAAGATGAAAAATTCTGAAAATTGGTATAGACCTTGGTCTTGGATGACAATACAATAATCCGTAAAAAAAATTTTTTAACTAAAAAGTAGAAAATAAAAAATTAAAAAATTTTTTTTTAAAAACACACTTTTCTAAAAAAACAAAAAAATAATGAAAAATTTAAAAGTGTGAAGCGCTCTTACACTTGACATATTATACTCCCAGTCACTATCTTATAAACAGGATTGAACAAAGAAGTGTATGTGAGACTTAGCTCTGCTTTAAATGTTTTGTATGATGCACCACACACTTTTAAATTTTAGATTATGAACGGAGCGATGAATGTATTGGTTTTACAATGATGTGTGACGTGTGTTTTTTTTTATATTTTTATATTTTTATATTTTTTTTTGTGTCTGTCATCACGTTTTGGGACAGTAAAAGTGTTTCGATTTTCTTCAATAGTACCTTTTCTGATAGGAAAGTGAATCTAGTTGGTACTTTGGGGGGTCAAAAGTAAACATTTTCCAGTAGTTTTCACAAGCGCCGGGAAAAAACAACATAAAAATTAAGGAAAAACGGGAATTTTTACGCAAAATCAATTTTCCAAAAAATCGAATTTGGTTTTTGGTGTAACTTTAAAACAAATGACCGTAGATACATGAAATTTTCACTGGTTGTTTATATTTGCATTTTCTATACACGATAACATTTTCAAAATATTTTGATTTATTTTGAACTGTTTAGGGCCTTTTTATTTTTCATTTTTTTTTAGTTATTTTTCTAGAAATATCAATAAAATTTTATTTGTTGGTTAAAAAAACTTGAAAATTTAATAGAAGACTCCTAGTATATTGTTTCAAAGGCAAATGAAAAATATTAAAAATCGTTAGTCACAGTTTTTTTTTATAAGCATTTAAAGTTCAAAAATTGACAAAATATGGAAAAATCACGAAAATTAGCAAATTATTTTGAGTTAAAAATTCGCAAAAATTTTTCTGTTTAAATCTAAGATTTGAAAATGTAATACAAGATTACTCATAAGTTTGTCTACCTTTATCAATAAAAAAATCTCTACCGGACAGTCAAATTAAATTTTTATGAGCGATTGAAATTCAAATTTTTACAACATTGGATGTTCACTCGATTTCTCATGTAGCGATTTCCTTATTTTGTTGTAATTCATAAACGAATAACTATAGATATATGAAAATTTCACTGAATGTTTATATTAGCATTTCCTATACACCATACAATTTTGAAAATATTTTGACTCTTTTTGAGCTGTTTACGGACATTTTCAGTTTTCAATTTTTTTAGTTTTTTTTTATAATTGTCAATAAAATTTTATTTGGTGGGCCAAAAAGTCTGAAAATTGAATACAAGCTTTCTTATATATTGTTACAATATCAGTTGAAAAATTTTAAAAATACATAGGCACGATTTTTTTTTATAAGCATTTAAAGTTTGAATTTTGACAAAATTATCAAAATCTCGAAAATAATCAATCGTTGGAATTAAAAAATTATAAAATGTTCAGTTTTTATAACTAAGAGTTGAAAATTTAAAACAAAGATTCTCTTAAATAATTCATACTGTAACCAAAAAATCTAAAAATATATAAACACATTTATTTTTTACAGACATTTTAATTTCAAGTTTAGACAAAATTTCATATTTAAACCAAGAATTACGATTTTAGTTATTTTGTTGTGATTGAATAATACTATTCGTGGGTACTTGAAACTTCTAAAGTGTACTATTATATATCTATGATAGTATCACGGTTTTTG